CCTATTGGACAAATGCTAAAACCCCCTGTAATTGGATTGGATGACTAGAATGATTATTTCGTTTTTATTTAAAAGAAACTATAAATGCCTGATAGTTTTGTACGATAATTGACACTATTTAGAACAGTATTCCTTTCAGTTCTCTTTTGTCTCCTTATTTACAGCTCGGAGGGTTCTAGCGTTCGAGTGTTATACGATGTATATTAAGAATGTAAGCTCTAGATACAAGAAATTCAGAAAGTAATAAGAAGCGGTGATGATTACAGCTTACTAGTGGGCATCACGGACAACAAAGTTATAAGCACATCGAACAAATTTGAAGCAGAGAGGTGAATGTGGGTATATGCGAGTAAATACAGAAATGAATTTATAGTCAAATCGCATAAAGCGCAGTCACGGAAGGTGAAGGCTAATAATAAAATTCGAGTATATATATACATGGAGAAGAGAATCATTATTTCGAGCAATATTTCAGCTATCAACATTTAGGCTAGAGAGAGATGTGTGTAGGCTGTCACATGTTATCAAACGTACACGTTTATTCAGACAAGATAGTAATAAGTTAATCAAAAGGGCTTAATCAAAAATTAACCAAAATCGAAATTGATAGTAGATGAGTTGCTATATCATTTATATGAAACTACATTTAGTCCTATTTTAACACATAATGAAACAATATTTTTCTTTTCATGTTTATATTAATCATCATTTTAAGTCATCTATAAATCTTAGTAACATTTTGGTTGTATTAATAATTCATTAGGATATCTTTTTGTCATTTATATGTAAACAATATTGATGAATGAACATTGATAATGAACAGTTAATAAGACTGATAGGTCGTGGGTTCGAATCTCGTGAGGCGAGGTCGTGGATGCTTACTGTTGAGAAGTCCTACGATAGGACAAAATGGCCATCCAGTGCTTTCAAGTTTTCCATGGTGGTCTAACTTCAATTAGCCCATGATCTCAACTATTGAAATTTAATAAAACAATCTAGAAGTTTCCTCTAGGTCAATGATCATATGTGTTCACTACAAGGAAACAACCAACCAAACGAAAGATACCTGTATTTTTCTGAGATTATTACTTAATTAAATGTTATCCTTATTTTTGGAAACGTTTATTATGTAATCTACATTGTTAATTTTATTATTTCTATCTAATATACGAATTTCAATAGATAGATATATGTGCTTTATTATAAATAAAAGTACAAATATTATCAACCACTACTCATTTAAAACAAATATAAGATGACAGTAATTATTATTTCAATAGTTGAGATCATGAGTCAATTGAAGCTAGATCATCGTGGAAAACCAAGAAGCATTGGATGGACGTTTCAAAGGAATCGTGATCTTAAATATTGAAATTACGATAATATTTACAAAAACCTCCATTCTGATACTCTTTTATTTATTTCATTTAATCATTACCAAAATGTATTGTACACTTTATGCTAATTATTTATTATCAGATTTATAATCATCAAAGTTGGAGATAAAGTGAAAATGAACTATTGGGATTATTCATATTAAAACAACAACAACAACATTGTTACATTTAACCTGAAAAGTCAATATGTATTACTTCTTAACTGATACTGACATGATAACTGTAGTTTGTTTCTTGTTTACTTTTCATTGATTTTGTTGTTGTTGTTGAGAACTTCAGTTATTCTCAACTGCCTTATCTTATTTTGTAAGTCAAATGATATTAAACTATGTCCCACTGTAATTCTATTAAATAGTTCATTAGTTTGTCATTATGTGATCGTAATAAAATGATCAGTGTATTATAATCAGATCGGTCTTAGGTCTTATGTTCGAATGTCAAGAGGTAAGATCGTGGATGCATACTGTTGACAAGTTTTATACTAAGACAAAATGACCATCTCACTATCAATAAAAGAACGAGTATACTGCGCAGCAGTCCGTTCTGTTTTAATTTACGGTAGCGAAACATGGCCATTAAGAGTAGAAGATACTCGCAAGCTACTAGTATTTGACCACAGATGCCTTCGAAATATTGCTGGCGTCTGCTGGGATCACTGGGTAAGTAATACTGAGATTAGACTCAGAGTATTAGGTAATGATGGAAAATCCGTTGGTGAGCTTGTGAATCTTCGTCTACTGAGATGGTTGGGCCACGTGTTACTTATGTCTGAACACCGATTACCACGACTTGAATGCTAACCGGTGTTCAAGATGGTTGTAAGAAATTTAGAGTCGGCCAAACTAAAGCGAGGCATCAGTCCGTAATGTCACTAACTTCTAGTCTGAGCCAGGTTGGTCGATGCAGACTACTTGGTTGGGGTCCGCGTGATTATTGTAACCAATGGTTGGAGACTCTTGGTGAGATGGCACAGAATCGATCACGATAGCGTCGGTATATACACTCTCTGTCTTCCCTTAAACTAAGATATTAAAATTGAATAAAGGAAAAACAAATAATGGTGCAGAATAGTATGAATTCATACTATTCTGCACCATTATTTGTTCTTGCTTTATTTAAATTCATAAAGGGAACCAATTGCATGAGATTAAAATCGTTCCATATCTTTCTTTCTACGAAGTAATTCTTTCCTCCTGTATTATATCCTTATATGCAATCTATTTTTCATATATTACCACCTCTGAATTAACTACTTTTATGAATCTGGTGTTCATCTTGTTGTATTAATGAGGTATGACAACTTGGACCGATGAATATATATGTGCCTGGTCTTACATTGTAGCTAAGTGACTGACCATCCAGTGCTTCCAGTTTTTCCATGATGATTTAACTTCAATGGATTCAAAATGTATTTAGTGATATTTTAATAAACATATAATCAAAGTTTATTGTATCTAAAATTGAATATACATGAAAATGTGTGAACTAAATCATTTATTATATATATGATGATGATAATGATTATCATAATAATCACATCGAATATCATTAATCATGTTAACCGTCAAAACTTATGTAAATACATTAAGCAGGACACAAAAAAGTAATGTTCCCATAATTTATCTGACAAATGAAATATTCATCAATGAATATATTTCACTTACAAGACACTTAAGTAGTATATATACATGGAAGTATACAAATTTTAAATACTAAAAATGCTTATTATTATAATTTATGCGAATAATACTGATGACGATGATCAATGATAATAATAATAATAACTTCTAAAAGTTATACCCTCTCTCCCCCCCCTGGCGCAAAAAAGAACTTACTTTGGTTATTTACACTTAGTGAATTAATGTATTGCATATCATTTATCTCATTCATAACAACATCAATTTTATATAATCCTTATGACAAATTTGAGTGAATACATAGACGGTTAGGTAAGAAGTATTCATATATATCAACTTAGCTGTATAGACAGTAATATCTGATGATAAAATACAATGTAAATAATTTATCAACTGACTTAAATGACATTTTTATATGATAAATGATGAAGATTTAGCACATTTTGCCTTTATTTAAAGTAAATTTATAATTATAATAAATATAAAGGAGGAAACCTAATTGTTGTTGATGGATAAATTAAGCAGTTTATTCATCTATGATAAAAAAATATTTATGGATACCTTTTAAATGTAGTCATAGAGTTAATAGTTTGTTATTCTTTTTGAGATAGATCATAAGTCATTATTTATTTAGTTGAACACATAAATATTGGTACAAATGGGCAATATAAGTCACTTGATTTATGTGTGGGCTGTGGTACTGCCCAAGTACTCAAACTGAAGCAGGTGGTTGGTTTCCTTAGGAGGGCCACACCCGAAACCTTCACAAAGCAGTGGAGCAACGTCAAGAGATGCAATCCCATAGTAACTGGTGATCAACAATTGGCTCATACGCCATTCGTTCCTTTAAGATACTATAGCTCATGTGCATCATTGGTTTGGAATCAGGGTTTTCCATCTCCCCTAAATGGACTCAGCCTATCCACCAACAGGATTAAGGTGCCAGACATTCAGTATTTGTCCTCTCAATTTCGTAAACAACAGAAATGCCGAGAGAAGGCACTGAGTGGGACGTCCCTGGTAATGGCTGTATACATGTGGCTATGTGAGAGCATTTAGAGAGGAAGAGTTAACTCTCCCCACCCTCGGCCTTACCAGGGCATTCGGGGGCTTAAGACTCGATTATAAAGTTTGTTCAGTTAATGTGAAACTTATTTTTAAAAACAACTAACTAAAAGTGAATTATTAGATTAGCTGATTAAATTGATGCTGTTAAGTTCTATGAGTTTCTTGATGTAATTACAAAGTTTTTATTTTTAATTTCCGTAAATCATAGTCAAAGCCTAATTCAAGTGGAAGATAAGGTTTTCGAATTATTTCATTGTCGTTGGTACATTCCGTCCTTTAGACACTATTTATGACTGATTATCCTTGTTGGTTCCACTTTCTTCATAAGCTTTCCATCCTTATTCACTGTTACGTCGCAGAAGATCAAAATTGAAAGAAAGTTCACAGTAAATCTAGCCATTTAGACGGTTGACCAAATCGTAACTTGATCGATAGAGTTCAAACAGTATTGTGGATCACACAAGCATGACAACGGTCACTATTGAATAATCAATGAATGTAAATATTCGTTGGAGTTTATATTCGTTTAATATACAATTAATCTGATAACTAATTTTTCATATGAATTGATTCATCTCATCTATATTTTCATTCCTTTTGATTGAAGTCACAGGAATACTAGATATTAATGATGCGAACTATGATGTAGAACATTTTTTCTTTAAGCAAGCTATAAGCGATATTGTAAATAAAGTTCTTTTCACTAATCAATAGAAAATTCTGATAGTCTGAGTAGTCACTTATAAAAAAGCTTGTAAGTTATTGGCCACAAAAGGAATCAGTTTATTTATTGGTCATAAAATTGATGAATAGTTCTTTAGCCAATCAAAGTAAAATAGATTAAAATAATAAACCTATTTATGCTATGAAACGTAAATTAAACTTATTGAGTATATTTCGTAGCTTATATATCAGGATTTGAAAATGTCATCTTAGTACTATAGTGAAGTCAGTTAAAGTTGATCAGAAATCATACTGAAACTATGAAGTGTACATTAAACGTTTTAATGAGAATCGGATGGTTGCTAAAACAGATTCTAAGAGATACATTTGGTTCTAATTGGAGCTTGTCTTCTAGATGCACCTAGATCTCAATGTCAATGTTCATAGTTCAACTCGAATTCCTTACCTTGTTTTAAAAACGATAATATGCTATCTACTGAGCTACAGACTCTATAAAGCCAATAACGTGTGTCAAGAGGGTGGAATTCCTTTGTAAGGGCTTTTTATCGCATTACTAATACTGGGATTTACAATCGTGTAATCACTTTTAGCATGTGTACATCCCATGTAGTTTACTTCAATATTCCTAGAGGCTGATTAGTTGCTATTACATAACTTCAAAAATAGGTAAGTATAAACCCCTTAGATTTGTATATTCTAATTGCTAAAAACCGTACTGAAATCTGACGTTTTTTTATTCTGATTTAGAAAGTTAACTTATATAAATGTAATTTCAATGGTTAAGATCGTGAGTCAGTTGAAGCTAGACCACCATGGAAAACCTGGAAGCACTAGACGGCCGTTTCGTCATTTTGTGCTTCCAGGTTTTCCATGATGGTCTAGCTTCAACTGATTCATGATCTTAACCATTGAAATTACTATAATATCCACAAAATCCATCTGATTTTATATAAATGTAGTTTACTACTTTTCAACATAATGTAGTCGTAAACATGTAGAATAGTCATTACTTAGCACTGAATGGAAATGTAGTAAGATAAAACAAATTGATTCTTTCATTGATTAAATGTGAAATCCATCATTATAAAAAGTAAACAGTGCTGAATTTATTTCACCTTATTAGTTTATCTAATCATGTTTATTGAATATTATCATTTTATTGATTACTGGTAAATTTGTCCATAAGGATCAAATCGCAACACTACGGATCATCTTTGAACAATCATTTGAATGGAACTCGTCGCTGTACATCAACTTCATTGACTATCAAAAAGTATTTAACAGTATGAATAGGAGAACATTATGGAACCTTCTTCGATGCTGTGATGTGAGTAGCTGAGAAATTATCAACATCCTACGGAATTTATACGATAAACTACAGTGCAAAGTCGTGCATGGAGGACAGCTGAAAAACACAATCCAAGCAAGGACTAGTGTTATATATGGCTGCTTACTTTCCCCCTTTCTTTTTCGTCTGGTGGTTGACTGGATTATGAAAACCTCCACATCTGAGCGAAAGTACGGGATACAATAGACAGGCTGGATGCGAATAGATGATTCGGACTTTGCAGATGACTTAACCCCTCTATCCCACACGCACGAGCGAATGTAAGTCAAGACAACTAGTGTAGCAGCAGCGTCAAATACAACACAGAGAACACCAACACAATCACAGATGATGGAGAAACTCTGGAAGAGGTGGAAACATTCAAGTATCTGGGTAGCATCATCGATGAACGTGATGGACCTGATGCAGATGAGAAGGCAGAGATTTTCAGAGCAAGAGCAGCATTCCTACAGTTGAAGAACGTATGGAACTCGAAAAAACTCAACCGATATTAAAGCCGTGATCTTTAATACAAACGTCAAGATAGTCCTACTATACGGAACTGAAACTTGGAGAACTACCAGACCCATAATCAAAAATGCTCAATTTATTTAGAATTATCAAGTCAAACCTTGGTAATGATACCTAAAAAAATGTACAATTGTCTACTCATGATACTGAATATCCGTTGTCCGAACACCATCAGCAACAGTCTACTGTGGGAGAGAATAATGAAAATTCTACTTTGAATCACTTCTAAAGAATAGTTCCTTGTCTCATAAAGGGTAGTTGTAGTTGAAATACATGAACATAGATTTCAGTCACATAAACCTAACATCTTCACGAGACTAAATTTCTTCTTATGATTGAATTCAATCAGTCTAGTGATATGTTGATCAATATATCTAAATGATCATTGAGTAAACAACATAACATTAAATACCAATAAATTAATGACTAGTATAAAAACGTTCTTTGTAATTGATGTTTATTCTATTTGATGTAACGATCGCGGATTAATTTTAATTTGTAACTTTCAGTAGCAGTAAGAGACTCATAATTATTAATACACACAATATGTAATTTAATGGTTGAATTCATTAGTCAGTTGAATCTATATCACCATGTAAAACCTGAAAGCACTGGACGGTCGTTTCGTCTTAGTATGGGGCTCTTCAGCAGTGCGCGCTCAATATGTTGTTGAAAAATAGCTTTATTATATGGTATATAATCTGTAAGTATGAAATAAAATCAAAGATGGATATTGGATAAAAGTGAAATTCAGGACTCGCGTTTCGTTCTCTTTGGGACTAGTCATCTGGATATATCTGCATCTCAGAGTTGATATTCACTCTGACATTCAAACCCTGTAACGTTCACTTCAAACAGCATCGCGCTATTCACTTAGATACTGAGTCCTGATAGCCACTCTCAGATGCAGGTACGTCCAGTTGAGGAGTCCAAAATAGAATGAATCACGCGTCCTGGAGTTTACTGTTAGACACTATCCATCTTTGTTTATAAATCTTGTGACCTACAGCAATACCAAGGCAGTCGACACAGTATGCGTATATGCCAACATGAGACTGATCAATTGCAGTCCTAAAGATCAATGGGGAGATACAATTAAAACAACACCAAGTGATATAATGATGGAAGAATCTGTATTAAAATAGGTATTTTCAGACAACATTCAGAAAGTAGTAATCACTTCATGAAAACGTTTTCAGAGGATGTTTTTTCATGTCGTTTAAATAGCTAAAGATTTATTCAAAAATGTTTATATTGATATTCACTGAAAATGGCATTAAGTGAAAATTAAACTACACACACACACACAGTCGCACACACACAAAATGCGAATAAGAATTTCAAAGTAATTTTTTTTGTTTTAGCACCATTCACGGTCGATGGCATACAGTGATTTTACCAATAACGTCGAATTTAATCATCATTATCATTTCACTAGTTATCCGTCTATATAAAGACCAACTAAATACAATTAATATCAGAAGAATTGTGTGGATTTTATAGTAATTTCAATGGTCGATATCATGAGTCAATTGAAGCCACACCACCATGGAAAACCTGGGAGAACTGGATGGCCATTTCGTCCCATTATGGGACTCCTCAGCAGTACGCATCAACGATCACGTTTCGTGAGATTCAAGCCCAGGAACTATAGGTCTCGCACACGAGCGCTTAAACTGTACACTACTGAGCTGGACGGCATCCAACGATGTTAATGTCTAGCTTCAACTAAACCACGAAATTGAACGACTTATCCACCATTGTCTTCAGTGAGTTACTATTATCTCACAACAGACCCGGTTGAACTCCACTGGTCATTGTTTCTCACTAGAACTCCAGAAAATACCTCTTGAAGACGGTCACTATTGAGCATATGTTGATTAATATCAGAATGAGTTTTTGTGGATATTATAGAAATTTTGTTATATCTAGAAGGTTGTTCTTGATATATCCCGTATAATGTGAGCACTAGAACGCCAGAACCCTTCCAAGTCGTAATGAGGAAACAGAAGACTAATGAAAGGAATATTATTCTCAGACAGTGTCAATTATAGTACGATATTGTCAGGTACTTATAGTTTTTAGTAAGAATGAAATCATCATTACAGTCCTCTAATACACTAGTAACGACGGCGGAAAGAGCTGCAAGATAAGGAAATATGAAACAGCCTTACAATACAACGAAGAAACTAGCAGGAAAATATAGTAAACCAGAGAGACCGGTCAAAGACGAAGAAGGCAAGCCAATCACAGAAATTCAACAACAGCGGAACAGATGGGTAGAATACTTCAAGGAACTCCTGAATAGGCCGGCTCCAATGAATCCACCGGACATCGAAGCAGCACAAACAGATCTTCTTAAAGACGTCAACCCACCAACGAAGGAAGAAATCAGAATGGCCGTCAGACAAATCAAGAACGGGAAAGCAGCAGGTCCGGACAACATATCAACTGAAGCACTGAAGTCAGACATTGAAGTAACTACACACATGCTTCACTCTCTATTAAAAAAGATTTGTAGGAGGGACAGGTGCCGATGGACTGGAAAGAAGGACACCTCGTGAAGGTTCCAAAGAAAGGAGATCTGAGCAAATGTGAAAACTACAGAGGCATTACACTTCTGTCAATGCCAGGGAAGGTCTTCAACAGAGTGTTGCTGAACCGGATGAAAGATGCAGTAGACGCCCAACTTCGAGATCAACAAGCTGGATTCCGTAAGGATCGATCATGCACAGACCGAATTGCAACACTACGGATCATCGTCGAACAATCAGTTGAGTGGAACTCATCACTATACATCAACTTCATTGATTATGAAAAGGCATTCGACAGTGTAGATAGGAGGACATTATGGAAACTTCTTCGACACTACGGAGTTCCTGAGAAGATTGTCAACATTATCCGGAACTCATACGACGGACTACAATGCAAAGTCGTGCATGGAGGACAGCTGACAGATGCATTCCAAGTAAGAACCGGAGTCAGACAAGGCTGTTTACTCTCTCCCTTCCTCTTTCTTCTGGTGGTCGACTGGATTATGAAGACCTCGACATCTGAGCGAAAACACGGAATACAATGGACAGCTCAGAACCAACTGGACAATTTGGACTTCGCAGATGACCTAGCCCTCCTATCGCACACACACGAACAAATGCAGATAAAGACAGTCAGTGTAGCAGCAGTCTCTGCATCAGTAGGCCTCAGCATACACAAAGGGAAAACCAAAGTCCTCAAATTTAAAGCGGAAAACAACAATCCAATCACTCTTGGTGACAAAACTCTGGAAGCTGTAGAATCCTTCACATATCTAGGAAGCATCATCGATGAACAGGGAGGATCAGATGCAGACGTAAAGGCAAGTATTGACAAAGCAAGGGTCGCATTCCTACAATTGAAGAATATATGGAACTCAAAACAACTTTCAACCAATATCAAAGTGAGAATCTTCAATACCAACGTCAAAGCAGTTCTACTGTACGGAGCTGAAACTTGGAGAACTACAACAACCACCATCAAGAAGGTACAAGTATTTATAAATAGCTGTTTTCGAAAGATAATCAACATCCATTGGCCGGATACCATAAGCAACAGCCTTTTGTGGGTGAGAACAAATCAGCTTCCAGCTGAAGAAGAAATTAGGAAAAGACGATGGAAATGGATAGGACATACATTACGCAAATCGTCAATTTGCATCACGAGACAAGCCCTAACTTGAAATCCTGAAGGGAAACGGAAAAGAGGAAGGCCTAAGAACACATTGTGTCGGATAATAGAAGCAGATATGAAAACGACGAATAGGAACTGGAAG